GACCCGGACGCGTGCCAGGGACATGCTCCGTAACCTTGGCTCACTGGCTCTTCTCTGAGCCTCGGTTTCCTCTTCTGTACGAGGGCAGTGGTGATACCCCATGGGAACCGTGCCTTCCACACACATTTATCGAGCGCCTACTGTGTGCTAGGCCCTGCTCCAGGACATGGGGGTGGGAGGGGGTACAAAGTCCCGACCCTGGTGGAGATGACATGAGACTGAGACACAAATCCCTGAGCCAAGCCTCTGGCAAGTCAGATGGTGGTAACAGCTATGGAGAAAATAAAGCAGGAGGGAGGGTGGAGGAAGTGCGATTTTAAACAGAGAGAGGTCAGAGAGGGTCTCCTGGGCCCTTAAGAGGACCTGAAGGTGAGAGGGAACCAGTAGGCTATGGGGGTGGTGGCTTATTCAAGGAGGCAGAAACAGCCAGTGCAAAGGCCCTGAGGCAGGACTGTGCCTGGCACCGGGTGGGGGTGGGGTGCTTGGGAGGAAAGGAGGGCAGGGAGGCTGGGCCAGTGGCTTCATGCGTTCACACAGGGGCCCTGCTCCCAGAAGAGCCTGCGCCTGGGTTAATGATCTGCTGTTGTGGTCTGGAAATGCCTAATAATTTTTGAACAAGGGGCCTCTCAGTTTTGTTTTGCATTGGGCTCTGCAAATTCTTTAGCTGGTGACGGGGCCGCACAGATGGCACAGGGCCTTGTGGGCTGTGGGGAGGACGTGGGCTTTCGCTGTGAGGGGTGGGAGCCCTGGAGGGCTGTGGGCAGAGGTGGGACGGGACTGACCTGGACTTTGATAGACGCTCTCTCCTTGCCATGTAGAGCACAGGCCTCGAAGAAGCTGTTGAAATAATGCATGTTAAGCCCCAGCAAAGGCTAAATATACAGAGTCTTAATTATCACCATCATCATCACCTATGCATCTTGCCTTCCGGATGAATGTAACTTCTTTGGGCCTTGGGTTTTCCCATATGTAAAATAGAGAATTAGGACCCTGGTCTCCTTTCCTGGGCAGATGCAGGGCCAGGACTAGGTTGAAGTGAATTAGCAAAATAAAAGCCCCTTCCACCAAAATACCCTTCAAGATAAAATAGTACTTTGACACAATATTTTTAAAAATAAAAATTAAGGTCAAAAATTCACAATGAGGAAAACATTAAATAAGACCGCATCCAACGGGGCCACAGGTGAGCTCTGAGAATGCAGGGTCTCCCTGGTCCCAGTGCCGTAAGAGAAGAGGCCCAGACTTTTAGAAAGCTTACTCTTCCTAATGGTTCTGGAATATGCAGACTCCACGAATCATATCGGAGTCCCCAGTTGGAAGGGGTCACAGAATTGTCAGGGCACCAGGGCAAAATGAAAATGGAAACCCTGTTATTCAAAACAGATCAGGGATTTCAAGATGGTGACGACCGAGCAGGAAACCAAGCGTGGGGACCTTCCTTGAAGTGCAGGGTCCTGCAGGGCCGCCAAGTCACAGGCCCAGAAACCAGCCCTGCTCCCTATCCTCCCCGCCCCTGCCTCTTGGGGACCAGACACCGGTTCTCTTGGGAGGCCACCTGCCTCTGACCCTCATTTCGGCAGGCAGCTCCCAGTATCAGGGCACTTGGTGACCGCTTTAACAAACCCTAGACAGTGCCGTGGTGCCAGGGCTGGGCCTTTCAGCATGTGGAGAAGCCAGAAGTCTGACCTGGACTATGAATAATAGTAAACCAACCCACTTGTATAAGTTTTTACTATGCACCAGTCTCTTTTTTAGCATTTTAACCCTAGAGACTTGGCCAAAAATCACGTAGCTGGTGGGTGGCAACATCAGGATGTCAACCCAGGGCCTTGGGCCCTTGACTGCACTGCAGTACTGCCCCTCCAGGTGGGGCATGGAGACAAGGGCTGGTGGGAATACTTGCTGGAAAGGGCCAGGGGCCCAGGTGATGCAGGTGCCTGCATTCTGGACTGAGGAGTTGGGATTGTACCTGGAGGGCACTAGGGAGCCATGAGAGGGTTTAGAGCAGGGCTTGTCAGTCTGTACTCCTGACATGCTGGCCCAGATCACTCTCTGGGGCGGGCCATCCTAGGAACTGTGGGATGTTGAGCAGTCTCCCTGGCCCCCACACACTCGATGTCAGGAGCACCTCCCAGTCCCAAGCATCCTCCGGGCAAAATCGCCCCCAGCTGAGACGCCCTGGCTTAGAGCAGCAGAGAGACCACCAGGACGAATGGTAGAAGATTCTTGCCGGTAGTGGGAATGGATGAAGGCGAGGCGGGAGGCCAGTAGACCAGGGAGGAGGCCCAAACTAACGTTCGGGAGGGGCACAGGCTGGGCTGGGCCTGCTGTGCAGAGGAGCTCTTGGGGGCAGAGAGAACCGAGTGTCAGCGGGTGAGGGAAAGGTAGGGCAGAAGGCAGCAAGCCGGGAGGGAAGAGACTTAATGGCATAATTAACTTGGGGGGAACTGGAGCTTTTGAAGATCCTCCTGTCTGGGCAGCTGCCGCCCCACACCCCTCAGTCCCACCCATCCCCACCTCCTCTGGACCACATCCTGCTCTTTCCTCTCCCTGGGGTCCTCAGGGCCACATCTGGGGCCACGTTGGGGTGGGGATCTGTCTCCTGTCTCCCACAGTCTGAGACCAGCCTCGCAGCCTGCTTACAAATGAGGGCCCGGCCCAGCGGCCTCCCGGGCAGAGACAGGCGCTGGCTGGCGCATGATGCATGGCGCTGCAGGGCCATTAATCAGAGGACGGGGCGGAAACAGGTGGCCGCCGAGCAGGTGCGGGACCTCCCTGTGGTTGGCCTGGAGGGGCTGGGGCCTCAGCTGTCCGGGTCTGGGTTCAAGCCCCTGGCCTGCCACAGCCGGGCTAGATGACCTGGGGCAACGTGAGTTTACTGGTCTGCACCCTCACCACCCCGCCCCCCACAGTGGAACTCATTCCCTCGGTGAATGTTTATTGCACCTACTGTGTGCCCAGCATGTGGAGGTGTACAGTAGTGACCAAGGAGGCCAAAAATCTCTTCCCTTGCGGAGCAGAGGCTTTAAAAACTTGATTTAGGTCCTGCCCCTCCTCTGCCCACAGCCCTCCGGGACTCCCACTTCCCTCGAGGTAAAAATCCAAGTCCTCCCCATGGTCCACAAGGGTCTACACAACCTGCCGCATACCCTCCCTGCCTTCTCCTCCTCCCTCTCTCCCCCTGACCCACTCTCCTCCGGCCATATGGGTCTCCTCACTTGGGGAACATGCCAGGCAGGGCCCCGTGTCCCGCCCCAGGGCCTTTGCACTGACTGTTCTTGCTGCCTGAAAAGTTCACCCTCAAATCCCAGTTTGGCTAAGTCCATTGTCTCCTTCCAGTCTTGGTTTAAATATCACCTTCTCAGTGAAGCCTTATCGTGGCTTCCCTGCGTAATTCTGGCAGGACTGGGACTAGGATGAAGGTACTTTCAAGTAAGACACTTTCTTAAGGTATAAAATTTAAGGAGGCACCAAAAATCTCAGTCAACAAGATGGGTGCTGTTTTAATGCAATCGATTTTTTATTGTGGTAAAATGTACATAAAATGTATCATTACAGACATTCAGCACATTCACAATGCTGTGCGATTCTCACTTCTGTCTACTTCCAAAACATCCCGTCACCCCAAAAAGAAGCCCCACCCCCATTAGCAGTCACCCCTCCCCCAGCCCCTGGCAAGTGCCAACACACTTTCTGTCTCTGTGTAGACCTTTCATATAAATGGACTCACGTGCTCTGTGGTCTTTTGTGTCCGGCTTCTCTCACTGAGCATCAAAGTCTCAAGGCTGTGATGTATGTCGTGCTTCACTCCTTTTCGTGGCTGAGTAAAGTTCCATTGTCAGGATGGACCACATTTTGTGCAGCCATTCATTCACCTGCTGATGGACACTTGGATCATTTCCACATTTTGGCCACTGTGAATAATACTGCCGGGACCATTCCTACGCAAGTGTTCAGGTGAATGTGTTCTTCTAGTTCCCTTGGGTGTATACCCAGAAATGGAATTGCTGGGTTGTAGTGTAATTCTGTGTTTAATCTTTGACGAATCACCAAGCTGTTTTCCACAGTGGCAGCACCATTTTACATTCCCAAATGTGATGCACAAAGTTTCAATTTCTCAACATCCTCAACACTTGTTATTGTCCTATAAAAAAAGTGTGTGTATATATAAAAAATATCCACTCTACTGGGTGTGAAATGGTATCTCGTGATTTTGATTTGCATAAGGCAATATTTGAACACATCAAAAATAACAAAAAAATTTCCATGATGAACAAAATGTCAAAATTCTAAATAAAAATGGGGTCCAGCCGTGCACTAGTGTACCCTGCTTTACTTGCTCTCCTCTTCCCAGCCCTGTGGCAGCTGCTCCCTGCAGTCCCCAGCCCAGTAACGTGGTCCACGTTTTCCTGGCTACATGGGACTCATCACCATCTAGGCTGTGATGTCTTCATGTATTTATTGGTTGGCTTTCTCCCCAACTAGAGTGTCAACTCTAGGAGGGAGAGATTTCTGTCTGTCTTGGTCACAGCCGTGCCCTTAGCATATAGAACAGTGCCTGGCTCACTGTAAGTACTGAATAAGTGGTGAATGAATGTATTGTAAGGATCCCCTGAGTTGCTGGGAGAACTAAATAAGATAGGACTCAGAAAGCATTTAGCATTCATGGCTGACACCTGACATCCTAGATGTACGGTTTCTAGCTTAGTAGAATCCTCTGATTGGCCAGGCTTGGGTCACATAATTACCCTGATTCAAGACTTATTGTCTGAATACATGCTCTGATTGGCCAGATTTAGTTCACATAACTTTCCAAATCCACTCAGTGAGAAAATGAGTGATGATTATATCAAATTATATTTTCCCTTCTCCTACCTTCCTTTGTTTAACAAATGCCTCCTATTTGCCAGGCTGTTTGCCATGGGAAAAGGATGGGAAATAAACTGACATTAACCAGGCACTTATTATGTGCCCAGGTTGCTTCTGATTTTCTTTTCTAGCACTACAGTGCGAGGCACCTGGACATGGAAGGTCAGACCTACCTGAGGGCCTTTGCACTTGCTGTTCCCTCTGCCTAGAATGCTCTTCCTTAGCTTTTCCTATGGACTTAATCCTTCTTGTCAGCTTAAATAGCAGTTCCTCAGAGAGGCCTTCCCTGACCAGTCCAATGGGGAAAAAACTCATTCTTTATTATATCACCTTGTTTTATTATTTAAAATAGCATTTCTCACTTGGAAATGATCATGTTTAATTGCTGTCTTCTTTATTATCTGTCAGCCTTGTGAAATTAAAGGTTCCCTGAGAGCCTGTCTTGTTCACTGCTGTGTCCCAGCACACAGCTTGCTCTGGAAAAGGATTGATACTCGGGACAAAAATCAGGTTGTGAAATGAGTGAGTGAGGTAGTAATTATTATCCCCATATTTCAGATAAGGAAACTGAGGCTCAGAAAGGGGCAATGATAGATTCTGCTATTTATGTATCTTTGGAATCCCTGTCTTTTCCTCCACCCCCAGAGCTATCACTCAAGAAGAATGTTTGAAGACCTACTGTGTGCTTGACCCTGGTCTAGATGCTAGGGATACAGTGATCCACATTGACCCCAACCTTACAGTCTATCAGGGAACCAGATAGGAATTAAATAACTATGCAAACAAATACGCTGCTATAATCTATCAATGATCACACTGGTCCCAGCTTCACACATGTACCCAGAATCCAATTGTTTCTCACCACCTAGAGTTACTAGCCTGATGCAAGTCAGCACCATTTTGCTCAGTGCAGTTGTCTCTCATTTTGTTTAGGATTTTTTTAGTGCAAGTGACAAAAAGAAACAAATGAACAAACAAACGAAAAACTGAAACGGCTTAAGTGCATGGAATGGAACATCCAGAAAGTTAGTGCTGACTTCAGGCATGGCTTGATCCAGGGCCAGGGGTTCTGTGTCTCTCCACTCTCAGCTTTTCTGTGCTCTGTGTTGTCTTTATTCCTGGGACAGTTGTCTCCCATAGTGGCCAGCAGGCTCCCGCAGCTCTAGGCTTCCATCCTGACAGCTCAGCAACCCCAGCTGGTTCCTTCTACTTAATTACAGCCTAAGTCCTAGGGCTCATTCTCACTGGCCAGGCTCAGGTCATGTGACACCCTGATTTCCCTCATTATGGCCTGAGTTGACTGCTTTGATTGGCCATTCTTGGGTCACATGGTTTTCCCTGTTTAAATTTTTTTAAAGGTGTGATTGACACATACCATTATATTAGTTGCAGGGGTACAACACAATGATTCGATATTTGTATACATGTGGAGATGTGGTCACCACAATAAAACTAGTTAACAATCTCACCATACACAGTTACAGAACACTTTTTTCTTGTGATGAGGACTTTAAAGATCTACCCCCTTAGCAACTTGCAAATCTGCAGCACGTCTTAGCACCTGCAGTCCCATGCTGTACATTGCATCCGTAGGACTTATTTACGCTGGAAGTTTGTACCTTCTGCCCATCCCCCCACTCAATCTTAAAGGCCTAGAGGGAAATGCTCTGATTGGGCAGAATGAGATCACATGACTGACTTCATTGCCCCCCACGCCCGTGGCTGGGAGGAATGCTCGGATTGATTGAGTCACGGGCGCCATCAAAGTAAGTGGGTGGGGCCAGGCCCAGTAGAACCACCTGGGGGGAAAGTGAGGGGGAGATGCTCCGCCGTGGGAAACCACAGGCATCGGGGCTCCGTGTGAAATGGGACACGGGGGCGGGGGAGGCGGGAGACGGTGGACTGGAGGGAAAGATGCCGACCGGGGTTCAGATCCTTTAAGGTGCAACTTCTGTGCAACCTCCAAGCCTTGATATTCCTTCCTCATAAAATGGGAACCCTCTATTTAAAAAAATGGGGACTATGGCAAGAGAACGAAGAGAATGTAGGGGAGGGACATGATCAACGTTTCCATGACTTCTTCAGCCTCGCCCCCGCCCGTGCCACCCCG